GCTATAATATCTCTTCGTTGTTTTTTATTTTATTTTTAATATGTCCAACTTAACTGTCTAAATGATTAAAATATGTTTCTGCTTAGGAACAAGCCATAGTTACCTGGGAAATTTACTTACATGGTGGGGCCTATTCTTCAGCAGAACCACACGTATGAAACACAACTCGAGTGTAGTCATGTCACTGCCACAGGTACCGTCAGGAATGAGCAGCTGTCAAAGGATAGGTAGAATACAGTCAGCTTCTTGGAAAATTCACCGTGAGCATAATATAGTCACTGGAAGTATACACAAGAGCATTGCTCTGAAATTTATTTTCAGTGATCATCCATTGCTGAAAACCACACTTTATGATATTTGAAGAACCGTTTTGTGAGGTGCACATGTGGTGGCGAGATAACCCCAGGCAGCAGATGACAGGAGGGTACGCGGCTACAGATTTCAGTGGAGTGGGGTGAGTTGTAACTGACCACATCGGTCACACCGAGCTGTTCTGTAGGTGAAGCAGGCAGACCTCTGGGTTGCTACAGGTTCAGTTCCAGATCACTGAGATAAAGTGACTAATGCAATAAAGCAAGTCACACAAATTTCCTAGTTTCCCAGTACCTATAAAAGTTTTGTTTACACTGTAGTCTATTATATGTGCAATAGCATTGTGTCTAAAAAAATGTATATACCTTAATTTAAAAATACTTTATTGCTAAGAAAATGCTATCACATGAGCCTTCAGCAAGTCATAATCTTTTTGCTGGTGGAGGGTCTTGCCTCATTGGCTGCTGACTAAGAGCACAAGGTTGCTCTGTTGGGAAATTCTGGAACTGTTGCTTCTACTGGACTTGAGATGGTTATTCTCCCCGTGTCATGCTTCTCGTTCCCCGGCTCCCAACAGTGTACACAGCGTGTGGCAGTCACTTTGAGTATTTGTTGAGTCGATGTTCCTCTGAACGAGTAAGACAGTACACGTTTGACTGCCTTTCAGCCATTAATTCCCTGCCACTCTGGTGGTAGGGGGGAGGCCTGGGCCTTATTCTTTCATTGTTAGTCTGTGCAACTTTTGGCTCTGGAATGTCTGTCATTTTGAGTAGTAGTCACTGTTCTGCCCTCTCAGCTTTCTGGACACGTCCTTACTTTTCATGACTGTACTGTATTCACTCCAGATCCTCTTTCCTTTGTTGGGGGTAGGGCAGTGGAGGGAGGAGGAAAATTGGACAAAGGGTAAAGATAACCCAGTACAACCATTGAAAGCTTGCCCTTTTGCTTCAGAGCCGCAGTCTTCAGAAAAACACACATAGCTAGTGCTGAGTAATTTTTGAGTGATTCCTCTGCTGTGAAGGGACTTGAGTTCTCAAAGGACTGAGATGTCACTTGCCTGCATCATAGACACTGCTACGGGTGACTTTCCCATGGCACCTACATTTGGCAGAGAACTGGAGCCATCACGGTTTTCTGAGCAACCTGGTTGGTGCAGCGACAGGCCACAGAGTTTAAGACAAAGAACTAGAGGAGGGCAGTCTGGAGTTGCCGTGTATTGCAGTGCGTGCCATGGACAAACGGGCTTCAGTTGTGGAGTCTCGGTTGTTTCAGGGCCGTCCCCAGAGGCTCACCCACAGCGGCGAGGAAGAACGGGCGCGGCTGGCACTCACTTCTGAAGGAAGTGTGCCGGCTGTGCTGTGCCCAGGGTCTTAGAGTCAGCACGCGTCACCGCACCTCCACCCCTCCACCCTCACGCCAGCCCTGTGAGGAGGGGCTGGGGCTGGTGTTTTCACAGGTCAGGAGACCAAGCCTCCTGAAGCCCCACAGCCAGATGGTGGGGAGGCATCTTTGGACTCGTTGTCCAGCATTCCTACAGTTTGCCCCATCACCCATGGGGAGAGCAGAATTCAGAGTCTCTTATCCCTGGAAAGTAAGCCATTTGGGCCATAGTGCTAGAAAGCCTGGCTGGTTTCGAGAGCACTCCCCCTCCTGGTGGCTGTTTTGCCTTTACTATTGGCTAATGGGTACAGTTAGAATGTCTTCATGGTTGCAGCTTAACCCTAGTCCTAGGTAACCACTACTTTCCTCCCGCTCAGTCTCAGACAGCCTCCGCATTAGTCCCTGGTTTGTCCACAGTGTAGGGGCAGCGGTGTTACTGCTGAAGAGCGTTTTCCCAGAGGGCCTGGTGCTCCACTCCCCACCCCTTTGCCTTTTAGGTCAAAGTTTGAGCATATACATGGAGGCACTGTCTGCCCAGTGAATCCATAATAAAAGCAGTGACCTGGAGACTAGCCCCACCTCTCAGCTGGTGTGTTGTGTGTGCTGCTGCTGGTCTGGCTGACCGTGGGCAAGGCCTTTGCCCTTGGAAGGCTCCCTTTTCATTATCTGTCATGCGAAGGCTTTGGGCAAGGTGGCCTGGTTTCACAAAGGCTAACTTAACTCTCAGGGGTAGGGAAGAGAACTCACATTGGAAATGAATAGAAGGTTTAGGCAACCTTTCTGTGAGCAGCCCACACAGACACTCATGGCTCACTTTGGAAAGGTGATTCTGTCAAGTCCCCTTGATGACCAGACAACATCTGACTTTGAGTTCTCTCCTCTCTTCCAGATGCCAGTATGGACAGAATAGCTTATGATGCTTATCCCCGCCCACCACTTCCGAGACATTGAGCGGAAGCCAGAATACCTCCAGCCAGAGAAGTGTGTCCCACCTCCCCACCCCAGCCCTGTGGGAACCATGTGGTTTATCCGCGACGGCTGTGGCATTGCCTGTGCCATCGTCACCTGGTTTCTGGTCCTCTATGCGGAGTTTGTGGTCCTCTTTGTCATGCTGATTCCATCCCGAGACTACGTGTACAGTGTCATCAACGGAATTGTGTTCAACCTGCTGGCCTTCTTGGCCCTGGCTTCCCACTGCCGGGCCATGCTGACGGACCCCGTGAGTATGTCTGGGCTTGTTTTGACCAGCCCACACTCTCCTCCTCTGGCCCTGGCATGGCCACAGCCTGCATGTGCCCCTGACCTTGGCAATGTGGAGACAAGAGCCGGGGCTGGGGTGGGAAAGTGGGGTCAGGCCCCACCGAGGGGACACCATCTATGCCACAGCCAGGCTGTCTTGGTTGAGTGACGCTATCTGTATGTTGGTACCTACATCAATTGACCCTGCTGTGGGTGGCATCTAGCCTACAGGAAATCTTGCTTCTAGTTAGAAAGGTGCAGTCGAAAACCATGAGGCTGGGGCTGGATGATCAGGAGTAGAAAGCATGCTGGGAGTTGGGTCAGGACGGGGCTTCCTAGTGAAGACAGGACTGGAGCTGTGTGGGGCTGAAATGAAAGCCCTATCAAGTTCCAGGAACCTGCATGGAAATGGCCTCTACTTTGTTTGGGGGAGGCCCTTTTCCTCAAAAGCTGGACAAGCCTGTTTCAGGATATAGCAGGTCCCTCTTGGTGACTATCTCTGGGTAAAGCAGTGGTGGTGTTCTGCCCGGTGACATAGCTAAATGTGCCAAGCTGTGCAAGTGGCTATCAAGTGTCATTTACCCTGGTATTAAATCCTCCGTTCCTGCTCATTATCTTGTATGGGAAAAGCAAGAGTGCGTTATTTGATAAAGACCTCCTACGGCTTAATTGTTGCAGGACTTCAGAGGAGTGTGTTTAAATTAAGAAAGCCAACGGCGGTGGCACTGACCACACAGATTTTGTTTGTGTGAGCCCCAAGGAAGAGTGCAGGAAAGATGCTGGGTCCTGATCTAGTGTCCCCTCTCAAAGGGCTCCATTTCCTGCTGGTTCAGGTGGTGGATCATTAATCTGTCCCTAAGGAAAGCAGCTTTCCCTTCTCAATGACAAGTTAGCCACTGGCCCAGACGGCGCCTCTTTTCGTGTGCATGCCTGGGTAGATCACACACACTGGCAGTCACAGGTCTGTTGGCCCAGTGTCTCCACCTCTCATTAGATTGTTGGACGACTATCACTTGAAGGAAATGAAGTACGTGGTTATAAGTGCCCCAAAGCACAAGGGTACGAAAGGGTTTCCCTGGCAGCATCAACTTGATCAGACCGGAAACAAGTTGAGTTTATTCAGAAATTTTATGTTGCCCTTGCTGTTGGGAATACAGAAGTAAAAGATGTTATTTGTCTCAGCTTATAATTTAGTGTCTGCTAAACCCCAAGCACTGTTCCTTCCCTTAAGGTGTCGTCTGTCTAGAGGAGAGACAGGTGGGGCTAGCCCCATGTGATGAAGGGTGTGGTAAAAGGAAGCACAGATTGCTGTGGAAGAATAAGAATTAATCAATCTAAGCAGGGGTGGCTTCCTGGAGGAGGCGATGCCCAAGCCAGTTCTCATTAGAACAGTGTATATGGGCTGGAGAGGTGGAGTGTGGTAGGGCAGGAAGACATTGACGTGTTCTAGGCAGAGGGAGTAGCATACACTGAGACACAGGCCTGCAGAATGTGATTGTTTGGAGTGGTGGGAACTTAGAATGGGTTTGGGTTGGTGTTATGGCCAGAGTGTCAAAGAAGTAGAGTAGAGGGTGGATAATGGAAGCCATCTAGAGCCCCTGAGGAGTTTAAACGAAAGAGTGATGAGATCAGGTTGTCATTTTACAAGAATCACGCTGGCAGCAGTGAGGAGGAGCCCAGGGGCCACTGAGGGGAGGGATAAAATGAGTGTCGTGTTCATTGAGCACATACTATGTGAGAGGGGCCTTCTGAGCAATGGAGACAGCTGTGAGCGAGGCACCCCACATCCCTGCCCTCTTGCGTCCTAGCGGATGGTGTCAGGCAGTAAAGATGTGGTGAAACAAGGTAATTTCAGAAAGCGAAGAGTGCTTGGAAGACAGGAAAACAGCAAAACACCACAGGTCTGGTGCTGGGGTGGTGACTTTCTGGGGCGAAGAGAGACTGTTTAGCTGAAGGAGATCTGGGACAGTCCCTGCAGCAGTGCCTTGTGACTTGAGGCCCGAATGACAGGAGGCTGCAGGCCAAGAGGTGAGGCTCTGAGGGCGGCGCCTCGCGGGCAGAGGAGTCGGTACAGAGGCCCAGAGACAGGAGCGTGCTTGGCACATCTGAGAAAACAGGTCTAAGAGTAGGGTGACTGCAGTGTGGTGGGTGGAGGCAAGAGGTGCTGGAAGAGGTGGAGAGGGCTGCAGAGGCCAGGCCGGGCAGGGCCTCCTGAGAACTTCAGTCTCTCTCGTCAGTGCCATGGGAAGCCATCAGAGGGCCATGACATGACCTGATTTTTAAAAAGACATTGCCTTGTGCTTGCGATGGGGGTCTGAGGTGGGACGAGGAGAAACAGGAGGATGAGAGGTATCACAGTGGGCCATGCAGGATGCGGGGGCCACCCAGACCAGAGTGGGAACGGGGAAGCTGGGGGAGAGAAGCTGTGGGATTTGGAATATATAAAGTCATTCATTGTCAGGCCTGGCTGCGCATTAGAATCCCTTGGGAGCTTTTGAAAATTACTGATGCTTGGGTCCCACCCCTAGAGATTCTGTTCTAATTGGTCTGCGATGGGACCCTGGGATTGGAGTGCTTTAAAACTCCCAGGTGCCCCTCATATTCAGCCAGGTCTGAGAACTGCCATTCAGAGAAGTAATAGACTGGGAGAGAGCGGGAAGGGGATGCCTTCCATATTCTTGGCTTGAGAATCTTGGAGATTTGCTTGTGCCATTTACTGAATGTGAGACTCTGGGGAGAACAGATTTTGGAGGAGAAATCAAGGCTCCTGTTACGGCCAGTGTCTCTATTTCATGTAAGCAGAGGTGCCAGGTGGGTAGTAGATACCAAGTCTGGGTGGTGGGGAGTGAGGATCAGAGATTGTAGTGTGGAGGTCTTTGGTTTCTAGAAGGCATGTGAATCGGGGAACTGGAAGTGGGGTGGGAGGGAAAGGAGGCTTCCGCCCTGGCCTTCCGGCTGCCCTCACACCCGTGTGTTCTTTTACCCCCACATTGACTCCTGTGGCCCCTCTGGGGACTTCCTGGGTCTGACCCCTTGCAGTTGGATGCAGGGGCAAATGATTCTCACTGTGGTATGTTGCTCAGCTTCCAATCCCAAGTAAGTGAGATCCACAAACAACATTCTGAACACCATTCAGCTTCTCCTAGGTGTTTTGCTGGTGCCCCAAAGAAAACTGGGCCAAAAAAACACATCATCTGTTAAATGTCTATCTAAGGGGAGCAGCTCAAAGCACAGCCTACAGACATGCCCCCTCTCTGCCTCTCCCCACTCCCAGCCTGTGACATCTCATGCAAAACCCAGCAGGCAAAACAGAGGGAGGTGGAGCTGCAGAGGAAGGACACCCTGGGGCACCTTGGCTTCCAAGGGGTGGAGTTGGAAGCCCAGATCTCACACTGAAAGCAGATCGGTTAGGGGTTCCTTATAAACACTGCAGGCCGAGTCTGTTTTTAGAAAGGCATCACTGCAGGGTTCTAAAGAGTTCCCTAATAAGATTATAATGTTTTGTATCTCAAGAATTCATGTTGTTTGTAATTTTTGAGAAAAGTTTATGTCCAGAGGTTATAAACAATGTATAACAGTGTGTGCATTGTATATAATTTTTTTAGGCAGAAAAAGTCCATCCTAAGGTTATAAACGGTGTGTAACAATGTATGGCTTATATGTCACTTTTCTTTGTTAGTATTACTAGTTAAAAAAAAAAATCTCCTATAGTCTCAGCCAAATAGTTACTGTACCACTTTCAGCTTTTAATTTCTTATTCCAACTGTAGCATCAAAACAGCTGGGAAGAGGGGAGTGACTCACTCGGAGGTGAAACTCCCATTTAAGAAATGGGGTACGAGGGGCAGGTCTGTGAGGAGAGGGAAGGAGACAGGTGGAAAGAGGGGCAGTGCCTCACTTGGCAGGTGTGTGGCCTGGAGGTGGCGTGGCCGTGGGCAGGAGCACAAGGGCGACTGGTGTTTCATCCCAGGGTGCCCTCTCCTTGCCTGCCCTGATTATAATGTCATCAGAGGAGCTTTCTGTGTTCCTGAAACACTTGAGGCATTGAGAGTTCTAGAGTGGCTCCACTTGCCCAGAGGAGGCAGCCTCTTAAAGACAACTTGGACTCATTCTTATCTTAGTACCCTGTCCCCGCCCTGCCAGCCCCATCCCAGTTTACCACCTGTTCTTTTCCAGTTCTGAATACATTGTAATTCTTCACCCTGTCAGCCCCCTCAGGAATCATGAAGGATTCCCTTTAAAATTTAGATTTGGGACAGGGGGGAGGTATAGCTCAGTGGTAAAGCACATGCTTAGCATACACGAGGTCCTGGGTTCAATCCCCAGTAGCTCCATTAAAAAAATAAATAAAAACTTAATTATCTTTCCCCCCCACAAAAAAAATTTAGATCTGGGACAATGTCTGTCTCCCAGATGCTTAAAGCTGAGGGACAGCTTTCTTTTTGTCCTGGCTACCAGGGAGCCCAAAGCCAAATGCTACACAGTCACAGCAGTTGCTTCCTTGGACCTAATGATTTATTAACCTCACTGTAAATGATCTCAAATCTCAGATTTGAGAAGAGGAGGAATAGCAATTGATTCAGTTTAACCACATCGTTAAGAGAAAGAAAATTCATCTGATTGCCTGCCACTGCCCCTCCCTGCCTTTGGATCCCACCCTGTAAACACCTTGCTATAAGCAGACCCCACGTGACCATCTGAGACCACTGCAGGCCAGTGGTTGGAGTTTCAGCTGCCAAAGTTCTGCAGTGGAAACGGCAGGACTCAATTGAGTGTGCAGTTGGTACTCCCTTCTGGACTCTGGGTGGGCTTACTGAGCACGGCTGTGTACAGAGTCAGCGAGCAAGAATTCACTCAGGCCAGTACTGTGGCAGCATGATGTTGGGAACACAGGAGGAATAGCGCTGGGTCGTCCCGCAGCCGCATGACCAGCTGGGTGCTGGGTGCAGCCAGAGAAGGGCTTTGCACAGTTCGCTCAGAG